CGATGCTCAATGCAACAGTAAACTCCGGAGAATGAATGACTGCCTAAAAACATTCTTTCATCAGTTCCAGTCTCACATTTTCCCACATTAACATCTCTGAAATTGGAATGTACCTTACAATTTACAGCACATACCAGTTCAACTGGCAGTTTTTAACCACAGAGATACATGTAATGGTCTATCTTACGATTGAGGCACCCTAGAGTTGATGAATTATGGAGGATTAATTCCTCTACAATATGATATTTTTTCATATATTGGACAGCAAACATCTTACTCTTAAGGGGTCTTCAAGAAGAACCACCCTAGTACTCATACAATAAACAAAAATCCCTGGGAATAGAGAGTAAAGCAGCTATTCTGGCACTACGTTTGGTTAAATCAAGTATACATATACTCAGATATGTCAAAGAAATGTTGACAGAGGCCCAGAAGAGAAATGTCAACAGGCCAGTGCAACACATGGTGGCAAGGAGTTGCAAGCAATTTGGATGCCTACCACTGTGGGAGTAGACAGATTGGTAGATGTACATAAAGAATTATGTAAGAGTTGGAAGTATAGGACCAAAAGTACACATAATAACATGGTTGATCTTAAAAATAGTGCTCTGTACAAAAAAAGATGATATCTAATAAAATAAAACATAATTTACATTTAGCTGAAGTACAAATAAAAAATATCCATTCTCAAGAATACATGTAAACAAAAGGATAAACATTATAGTGGTTGCATGGGAAGGGAGGGAAATGAGCTTTGGGAATAAAAAGAATAACTATATTAAAAAAATAGTGGCCTTTCAAGGATGAATGATGACTATGCATCATAAACTCAGGAATATGACTAATTCAATCTTCTACATTTGTAGTCCAACTAGAAAACCACAACAAAAACAAACTATAGTAAGCACCATGGAGGAATACAAAAATAACTATATAGTGCTGAATCAGTGTAGCTACAAATAAATAATATGAGTATTATTTATTATAATAAATAAATGGTAAATAATAAGTATATTACTTTTTATATATTACTTATTATTCACCAGGCATCAAAGAGCTTACATACACTGACTAATTTAATTATCTCAACAATTCCACAAAGTAAATACTATTATTATTTTACAGGACATCAGGGAATAATAAGTTAAGGAATTTGCCCAAGGTAACTGGTAAGGTTGGGATTCAAATCATAACTTTATATGCTTAGAACTTTAGCTCTATCTGTTACACTAGAGAACCTCTCATACATCAGCCACCATTTCTATAATGTAAAGCTTACACTTAAAAAGGAGAGAGGCCATTCACAACCAAGCACAAAGCAAGTTGAAAACAAATAATGAAAGAGGTCATCACTTTCATCTGAATGGCCTTAGGTATGCTATTACCCACCCTGTGGCTTTCTTTCATCAAAAGCAAAATGGGGTCAATCATCCACTTGAGAAATAGTTGAGCACATACTATATGCCAGGCACTAAGTGCCTGAGGTACAACAGTGAATACAAAGACATCCCTGTCCTCATGAACCTCATTGTCTATTCAGAGAGACAAATACCAAAGTCAGGTAGTCCTAGGGACACATACACAAGGCACAGAAAATAAAAGAGGGTTAAAAAAAGGAAGATGCTATTTAACTTGATAACAACAAGAACAAGCTAATACTTATTGTGTGCTTACTGTTTGTGTCCCCTCCCAAATTCATATATTACAACCTAATTAACAATGTGGTAGTATTAGGAGGCAGGGCAATGGGGGGGGGGGCAGGACGATTAGATTATAAGGGTGAAGCCCTCATGAATTGGGATTAGTGCCCTTATAAAAGAGACCCCTGAGAACTGTGTCAGCCATTCTTCCATGTGAGGACACAGCAAGAAGTGTGCAACTGGGAGAGGGCCCTCACCAGAACCTTGACCATACTGGCACCCTGATTTTGGACTTCTTAACCTCAAGAACTGTGAAAAATAAATTTGTTGTTTATAAGCTACGGAGTCTATGGTATTTTGTTACAGCAACCTGAACAAACTAAGACACTAACAGGAACTAGTCTAACTTACACTACTGATTTATTTAATATGATTGTTCAGGAAAGCATCCTCACCCCCTCCAAAGTACCTGTACCTCAAAGGGTTATTGTGAAGCTTAAATGAGACAAAACATGAAAAGCTTTTAGAACAAAACAGACACACGGATCAATAGAGTAGATTAGAGAACCCAGAAATCAATCCATACACCTAAAGCTATCTAGTCTTTGACAAAGGCAGCAAGTCTACACACTGGGGAAGAGACTGCCTCTTCAACAAATGGTGCTGGGAAAACTGGATATTCATATGTTGGAGAATGAAACTAGACCTGTACCTCTCACCATATACCAAAATCAACTCAAAATGGATTAAAACATTAAATATACACCCTGAAACTTCTTAAAGAAAACATGGGGGAGATATTCTAGGAAGTAGGAGTGAGTACAGACTTCATGAATATGACTCCAAAAGCACAGGCAGCTAAAGAAAAAAATAAACAAATCTGATTATATCAAACTAAAAAGATTCTGCACAGCCAAAGAAACAATCAAAAGAGTTAGAAGAAAACCAATAGAGTGGGAGAAAATATTTGCAAAATATACATCTGACAAAGGATTAATA